TTTTTTTTTTTTTTTTTTTTTTTGTAAAATCTAGTGTTGATTTGTGTGTGACAGACGTGTATCGGACACTTATGACAAGTATTCCAAATTCCATATTTTAACTGGATGGGTGGCAAGCCTTGCTGCTACTATTTTGGTGCGTGCTATCAGAAAGCCTTCAGGGTTTTGGTAGAATCTAACCCTGAACAGGTCAGGACCATTTTGGCAGCTAAAAGTGAAAACAACACCACCGTCATAAATCCCACTTCTGCCAGAGAAGATTTCCTAAAATGTGGAGATATTTTGAAATGAAAACTGGTTGTATTTCAGCCAGGCAACCACGGAGCAAGAGTTGCATCAGCAGAAGAGATTTCATACTCAGCGTTCAGGTGTTGGAGTTGCTTCATAAAGTCTCTTATGCAAAACAAACCAGGAAGACGAGAATGAAATTATTGTTTGGTTTCTGTTTAAGATGTGGGCGTCTTGATGTGTCTGCACTGCCAAGCCTGCTGTGAAACAACTGGCACCCACATAAAAATAGGAGATCGTGTAGCTCTCGTAGTGCTTTAAGCTTTGTTTTTTCCCCTGTCTCTGCTAAATCTTGTTCTATTTATCAGGAACAACATTTCCAGCTGCTTTCCGATAGCAGAGATCCTGCGTCTAAAGGCTGGTTGGGTGGTGCTTAATTTAAATCCGAGCCAAGCCACCAGCTGGGTAATATATTCACCCATAGATCCTCTCTGCTAGCCTTCCTCGAGTCTCCAAAAGCCAAAGATGTGAGGAGGTTTGTTGTTGTAGCCTGCAGCTCTGCATCGATCTCCCAGAAACTTCACTGGCTCAGTTAATCACCTCGTTCCTAGAGAGGGCAGGAAACAACAAGCCGGAAAAGAGAAAATGTCCATTTTCTGGTGTTGAGTAATTCATTTTAATTGCTGAGTAGCGCTTGAAGAGAAATTACTGGCCTGACATTTGGAGATATTGGGTTTCTTTCGTTTGTTTCGGTGCTGTTTTGTTCTCGTAAGTGATGTACAGAACTGCATGGGAGCTAACAAAGGGATAGGATGGTGAGGAAGAGGAGGAGGGGCTTTCCTGTCAAACATAATCTCCCTTTTCTTTGCCTGAAAGAGGGGAAAAGTTGAATCGGAATATAAGCATGAAATTTGGCTGAGGTGAAGTGAGAAAGACAAGCGGGGAGAAAAAGTGGTCAAACAATGAGGAAGAGGGGATAAAAGTGAGGGTCGCCGGAAGAAACATGAGTGGATGTTTATAATATCTTCAAACTATACTAAATTATGTTGCTTTCACATCAGTTCCTCTATAAATACCCACAACCCAAAAAACACAGGTTAGTGTCGCTTTAATTCAATTCACATTAAAGTATTTCAAACCATCAATATTCAACAGGCTTGAATGATAATTGCCTTAATTCTGTAAAGCACCTTTCAGTTAATTTTTTTTTATTATTATTATCTAGTTCGCTTTACAACACACCTTCAGGGGACCATCCATCCATTCATCATCTCTCCCTCCCAGCTTGATCAGCTGCAACCTGTCATTACAAAGCAAAAATGCAGACAATCCTTCCACATTGATAATGAAAGCAAATGATTCAGTCTATTTGAATCCTCTTTTCTCATCAGTTATCTTCCTTGTTTCCCTTTGGGATCCATGGTCCGAAACACATCCACCGCTTTGTTTGCCTGGCACCGCTCCATGCTGGTTGCAGGTTATGACCACTGATCTCTATGGCTGTGATGCAATTTACTGTTTAAATTTATTTATTATACAAATATTTACTGCATTGGAAAACATAATTAATTTTTGTTTGACCTCGTGCACACCATATGAAATAAAAATGGATTTTCATAAATTTTTGAAAAAGCTCCAGGGAGCCATAAGGGGGACGCTAAAGAGCCGCGTGTTGCCGACCCCCGGTAATGACAAACCAACCGGACATTGTGGTGGTGGACAAAAAGCAGAGGAAAGCTGTTGTGGTTGACATAGCAACCAAGTGACTGCAACATCAAGAAAAAAGAACATGAGAAACTAGAGAAATACCAGAGGCTCAGAGAAGTGCTGGAGAAAACCTGGAAGGTCAAGGCATCAGTGGTATCCGTGGTCATTGGGGCCCTCGGGGCAGTGACCCCCAAACTGGAGGAGTGGTTACAGCAGATCCCTGGAAATACATGAGACATCTCGGTTCAGAAAGTGAAGTTCTATAGGAACAGCAAAGATACTGGCAGAACCCTCAAGCTCCCAGGCTCTGGTATACATTGGGGTCATGGGTTGAAATGATTGGGACCTCCTGATTTATGGTATTATTCTGCTCTCCTTGTATTTTGTCTGAATGAACCTCATTCCTGGGTCATTCACTAACAGCTGCTTTAAACTGAACTACAGAAGCATGCCTGCCTTTCATGGTGGAATAATTATCAGGAAGACGTAAAAAAAAAAAAAAAAAAAGGGGGTCTGAGACTGAATCTCTAAATCTATCTTTCTATTTCTGTGTCCTGACAGGTATCTGACAAGGCCAAAGCCAGAAGCGCTGCACTAAGGTAAGACTAAAGGTTCTACTCCATGATGGGACACCTGGGATCTGTTTATGTTGGGTGCTTAAATGCGTTGGGTATCCTTCTGCTTTTGCCTCAAAGAAAGTAACTGAAGACCACATTTAATCTGAAATGGGACAGCCAAGAAAAGAAGCTTTAAATGAATGTTCTTTGGCGAGAAACACGGCAGCAGTCCATTCTGGATGAATCCCTGAATGTTTCTTTAATTTAGCTGCTTTGTTACGGTCAGAGATGTCTCAGAGGTCAGACACAGTGATGTCTGCCCATCTAAAGTTTAAGTTAGTCCATGCTGTTTCAGTTTGGATCGTTCATTTTTATTACTTGTAATATTTCAAGGTTATTGCAGCTGCAGTTAAGGTCTGGAGATGAGCAGGAGTTTTAATTGTTTGAAGGATCTATGCTGACATGTGACCACATGGTAACCCCAGTCAGACTGAGCTCAGTAACACACTGACTGCACACATCTGACCTGCTCTGTGTGCTTTAGACCTTTTCATGTTTTATTCAGTTTTCAGCATGAAAAGGAATTCTACTGGCATAGTTTATCTTTCCATTATTTATTTCCTTGGCTTATTTTATTCTCACCATAATCAGATGTAGATTTTATCATTTGAGAGTCTGCCATACACATAGCAATGTTTAGCAAATTTTTGTAAGTCTTGTCCTAATACTGGATGGATGGATGGATGGATGGATGGATGGATGGATGGATGGATGGATGGATGGATGNCGCACCGTGACGTCACAAACCAGTAGGTGGCAGTAGTGTTCTTTGACAAACATGGATGCCTCCAGTAAAGCACATTCACATGAAAATTATTCTTAATTAAAAGCATCATTTATTGAACAGTATGTAATAATTTCATCTTTAAAGTATTTTAAGAAGTTTGAATTCTGAATATGACCGGACTTTTCTTTTAAAGAAAATATGGATTAAAATCAGCCCATATTTTTCTGTTTGCCTTTTAAGGCAAGTCGCATTTATTTGTGTGGCTTTCATACAAAAGGTTCACCAGAAATCAGAAGAAAGTAAGGAAGAAAATTAAAAAGCATAAAAATAAAAGCATTGCAAGCATTAAAATAGAGAGATTAAAATACAGCAGATAAATGCTTGAAACAGGTCATTAGTCTGATTCTTAATTTAAAAAACTGCTTTAAACAGAAATAGTCTGTTCATCCATCCATCCATCCATCCATCCAACCATCCATCCATCCATCCAACCATCCATCCATCATCCATCCATCCATCCATCCATCCATCCATCCATCCATCATCCATCCATCCATCCATCATCCCTCCATCTTGCATCCATCCATCCATCATCCATCCATCCATCCATCCATCTTGCATCCATCTACCATCCATCCATCCATCATCCATCCATCCATCCATTCATCATCCATTCATCTACCATCCATCCATCCATTCATCATCTCTCCCTCCCAGCTTGATCTGCTGCATATTTAGCCTTCCCTGTAAATGCCTTTCCAAATTTTTCTTTTTATTTTTTGACAACCTGTCATTACAAAGCAAAAATGCAGACAATCCTTCCACATTGATAATGAAAGCAAATGATTCGGTCTATTTGAATCCACTTTTCTCATCAGTTATCTTCCTTTTTTTCCCTTTGGGATCCATGGTCCGAAACACAGCCACCGCTTTGTTTGCCTGGCACCGCTCCATGCTGGTTGCAGGTTATGACCACTGATCTCTATGGCTGTGATGCAATTTACTGTTTAAATTTATTTATTATACAAATATTTACTGCATTGGAAAACATAATTAATTTTTGTTTGACCTCGTGCACACCATATGAAATAAAAATGGATTTTCATACATTTTTGAAAAAGCTCCAGAAAGCCATAAGGGGGACGCTAAAGAGCTGCGTGTTGCCGACCCCCGGTAATGACAAACCAACCGGACATTGTGCTGGTGGACAAAAAGCAGAGGAAAGCTGTTGTGGTTGACATAGCAACCAAGTGACTGCAACATCAAGAAAAAAGAACATGAGAAACTAGAGAAATACCAGAGGCTCAGAGAAGTGCTGGAGAAAACCTGGAAGGTCAAGGCATCAGTGGTATCCGTGGTCATTGGGGCCCTCGGGGCAGTGACCCCCAAACTGGAGGAGTGGTTACAGCAGATCCCTGGAAATACATGAGACATCTCGGTTCAGAAAGTGAAGTTCTATAGGAACAGCAAAGATACTGGCAGAACCCTCAAGCTCCCAGGCTCTGGTATACATTGGGGTCATGGGTTGAAATGATTGGGACCTCCTGATTTATGGTATTATTCTGCTCTCCTTGTATTTTGTCTGAATGAACCTCATTCCTGGGTCATTCACTAACAGCTGCTTTAAACTGAACTACAGAAGCATGCCTGCCTTTCATGGTGGAATAATTATCAGGAAGACGTAAAAAAAAAAAAAAAAAAAGGGGGTCTGAGACTGAATCTCTAAATCTATCTTTCTATTTCTGTGTCCTGACAGGTATCTGACAAGGCCAAAGCCAGAAGCGCTGCACTAAGGTAAGACTAAAGGTTCTACTCCATGATGGGACACCTGGGATCTGTTTATGTTGGGTGCTTAAATGCGTTGGGTATCCTTCTGCTTTTGCCTCAAAGAAAGTAACTGAAGACCACATTTAATCTGAAATGGGACAGCCAAGAAAAGAAGCTTTAAATGAATGTTCTTTGGCGAGAAACACGGCAGCAGTCCATTCTGGATGAATCCCTGAATGTTTCTTTAATTTAGCTGCTTTGTTACGGTCAGAGATGTCTCAGAGGTCAGACACAGTGATGTCTGCCCATCTAAAGTTTAAGTTAGTCCATGCTGTTTCAGTTTGGATCGTTCATTTTTATTACTTGTAATATTTCAAGGTTATTGCAGCTGCAGTTAAGGTCTGGAGATGAGCAGGAGTTTTAATTGTTTGAAGGATCTATGCTGACATGTGACCACATGGTAACCCCAGTCAGACTGAGCTCAGTAACACACTGACTGCACACATCTGACCTGCTCTGTGTGCTTTAGACCTTTTCATGTTTTATTCAGTTTTCAGCATGAAAAGGAATTCTACTGGCATAGTTTATCTTTCCATTATTTATTTCCTTGGCTTATTTTATTCTCACCATAATCAGATGTAGATTTTATCATTTGAGAGTCTGCCATACACATAGCAATGTTTAGCAAATTTTTGTAAGTCTTGTCCTAATACTGGATGGATGGATGGATGGATGGATGGATGGATGGATGGATGGATGGATGGATGGATG